TTGTTTTTTTTTTTTTTTTTTTTTTTTAATAATATGTGTTTTCCATTAACAAAACAAACAAACAAAACCCCAGCTTTGTAGCTAGACAGACTGATGGGCTCTGACAGCAGCAGGCAGGCCCTGATAACCTTAGTGACGAATGCGACAAGTGGCACCATTGGCACTGAGAAATCTCTTGGAAGAAGTCGGAGAGGAAGCATCAGAATTGCCGAATTCTCATTGACAGCAGCTTTTCTCTTCCCTAGCAGTCACTCAGTACAAATACCCAGATACACATGTACCAGGATCCATATCCAATCCTCACGGTAACTTTACTGTCACCCAAAAGAAAGAAAAAGTGTGAAGTCATTTCAATTGCAATTTCTGGGGTGTGGTCCCTGAATGTTGCGTTTTCATGGGTTCCCCTCTACCTACTGGAGCCACCCGTTCTCTGTAGGGTTGCTGTGACGTGTCCTCGGAGGTCTCATTCTCATTGAGTCCAACCCCTTTTTCAATTAAGTTTCACTGGTAAAGCTTAGAACTACCATTTATTTATTTCAGGTTTTTGCCATAGTGTGCAAGCACTCGCTGGAGACAGAGAAACAAAAAAAAAAAAGGGAAAGTAAGAAATCACTTTCCACAATCTGCTCTCCTCTCTTCTCCTTTTGAGATGTTGGGCAGGCATACACATGTGCCTGGTGTGATTTTCAAGCCTCTGGGTCTGGGACTCGAATGGCAGTTGGCCATGTGGGAGTCCAGTGCCTTAATGGCCCCGCCACCTGCTGGCCCCCCATGCCTTCCCATTCTTTACCTCTACTTGATAGGTATTTCTTCGTAATCGCATTTCCCGTTTCTGAGTGACACACCAGAACAGCATCAACAGTCTTCATACTCTTCTCAGTGTTATTCTGCACATGACTATGACGAAGTCACTGCAATACACAGGGAGGTGGGCATACATCATGTGGTAAATGCTCTATGGAATGTTACAGAAATCCAGAGAAGGGAGATGGATCTTGAAGGAAGAGCAAGAATCCGCCAAGTGGAGATGAGCGAAAGCCAAAGGGGAGGGCAAGGAGGTTGAGGATATGAGGAGACATGCCAGCTTCTAGTGGGTGTGTGGGGGGTGGGCTGTAAATAATTGACAATAGTTGGAGAATTGCTTGTGTCTATGTGTATGTGTGGGAGGGTGTTTTATATAATTAAAAAAATAATTATTTTATTTGGTGTTATTACATATTTTTTTATTTTGACCAGTGAGAGAGAGAGGGAAAGGGAAAGTGAGAAAGCAAGCCACCAGGTTAGGGACTTGAGTCGTAGTTGGCCATGTGGGGGTCCAGCACCCTAACCATCACCCCATTTGCCAGCCCCAGGGAAGGTGTTTTTTCTTTTTTCTTTTTTTTTGGAGAGGTGTTTGCTATAGCATGTGTATGCTCGCCAGAAAGCCAGAGAGAGACAGAGAAACAGAAAGTGAGAAATCACCCCCCCAGGGGAATGGCCAAGCCACAATCCCTTCTCCTCCATTCTCCTCTCGGGATTTGGGCACTCATGCATATGGCTCGGTGTGAGTTTAAGCCACCGGGTCCTGGACTTGAACCACCATCGACTACATGAGAGTCCAGCGACATAGCCATTATGCAACTGCTGGTCCCTAGGGAAGGTATTTTTTAGAGAAAAGTGTCAGGGATGAATGTGAAGTAAAAAGAACATGAAAGTGAAGAAGTACGTTGTCTAACATTTGAGATGGATATTTGGAAACATTTCTGACCCGAGGGCATTAGTCTCTTACTAGAGGAGTCGCTAATTTGAAACTGGAAAAGAAGAATCAAATAAGTTGATTCAGTGGACACTTGCTTAACCCTGAGAAGGAGTGTCCAGGTCCCTGTAACCCAGCAGGGGGGTCCTGTTCTGCAAGGTGCTTACTGGCTCTGATTTCCAGATTCTAAAGCAGGGCTACCTCCCTTTGCTACCTCCACAGCCAGCCTTCCCTGGTTAACCACACTCTGTTCCAGGGTCCTGACTCCTTCTCCTTTCTGAGTTTGAGGTTTCTGCCACCCCTGGTCTAGTTAGGAAGTGACTAGCATTAGCGGTTTAGTACTCAAAGAATCTTGGCCATTAAAAAGAAATCTTTGAAGATACGAATCAGTTAAAAAGCCACTCAAAGGAGAGCTAGCGTGGCCATATGGCCTTCATCCACATCTTGTTCCGACTGGCCACCTACCCAGATGTAGAGCTAAGGATGTAGGGGGGGAAGAACAAGAACTTTTTGGTGAGAATCAAAATCCTACTCTTCTGAGTGGGAAAAGGAGAACTGATATTTGAAAAAGTTTGTTTCTTTCTTTCCATGAGCAAGAAAAGACCACGATCTACCCTGATCCATCTGCAGCATCGGCCTTCCCCAGATCATGGGCACACGTGTGCCTGATATTCCCCGGGGAGGTCTCTGGACATGGACCTAAAACCTTCCTGTGTGGTTCAGCCTCAGAGCACTGTTCAACCACGGTGCCACAGCCCGGCTCTGCCTGAGCCTATTTCTTCCTTTCTATTTATTATTATTATTATTGCCATAGGGCATGAGCACTCGCCAGAGAGAGATAGAGACAGAGAGAGGGAGAGGGAGAAATCCTCCCCCCCCCCCGGAAGGATGGCCATGCTGCAATCCCTTCTCTGTGTTCCTCCTGGGATTTGGGGCATGCATGCACACACGCCCGGCATGATTTTCAAACCACTGAGTCCAGGACTCAAACTGCGGTCTGCCAAACTGTGGGAGTCCAACAATATAACTACTACACCACCTGCTGACCCCTGATTCTTTTCTTGACTTTGAAAAGGGGGAACTTTGAGTTCTGCACTTAGGGTCCCCCCCACACACAAGAAAGTGAATTAAATCCCCTGTGAAAGTCTGAACTCCCCATCAAGTGTATAGTGCCATTCCTCCTGCACTGCGGCACACCGACCACTTGTCCTTTCCCCAGCACATCCCATCTTTCATGCCTCTATGCCTTGGCATATGCTTT